CTCCCTCCCTCCCTCCCTCCCTCCTTTCTTCCTTTCCACTTTCATTCTGTGGATTTGTGGCCTCAGTCTCTCCCTCAGGATGCCTTGCAACATGCGGTGACCAGACCAGACGCAAGTGGGAAGTGTGCCTTTCCACCTAGAGAACCGAAACATTTTCGCCTTCACCGTCTTCCCTGTCAGAGACAGTATTCAGGACCCCAAGAGCCTAGCCTCCCTCTTCTGTCCGCATTCCACTCTAGGGACAGCAGCTGGTTCCCACCTCCCCGCCCCCACCCCCAGCTGCTCTGCACCTGGCTCCTATCTGACCCACACCTGGGCCTGGTGTTTGTTCATGTCTGGGTGCCTGTCTGGAACCTTCCTTTTTTGTTATCATTCACCTTGTCCCCACTTACACCCCCAGATCCTGCTCTCATCCTTCCTCTGGACTAACTTAGCTCTCGTTCCCCCTCATGCCTGAAACATTGACATGCTGACTCTAGAACTGAATACTTAATTATGTTTTATGGTTTCATTGGTGTTGGCGTCTGGGCAGCCCAGGGAAACTACTACTTTTGATCGATCCTACGGCCCTGCATCCGGCTGGGGTGGATGTAAACTTAGTGGTAGTGTGCTAGCGCTTGTCTAGCATGTTCTAGGTCTTGAGTTCTGTCTGTAGCACTTAAAAAAAAATCCTTTATTCAGTGGAGTACAAGGTTCTTAAAGCTGGAAAGTTCAGGAAGTAATAAATTACATCCTTCTTGTCCATAGAAGTGAACAATGAGGCCGAGGCAGGCCTAGCATAGTCTTAATGTAAATTCTGCGGGTTTCTTTCCTGAACAGATCCAGGGAAGGTGCTCTGAGGTGTTGGCTACGCTGTAGCCATTTATACATGGCTTACCAGTGTTGACCCAATGCTGAAGTGGAAAAGGATTTCAAACCAAAGCAGGGGAAGTTGGCTGACCCGGTGTTTATTCGGGGTCTCTGGAAGGCCTGAGTCCCACCATGACATTCTACAAAGGGACTGGCCAAACCTTCTTTGTAACTGTAGGGTGGAATTCTGCCCTTCTCATCCCCAAGTACAGAGAGCATTTTTGACCCTCAATTTAAAGTCTGAGTCAGGTTTACCTCAGAGCTCGCTGGCTCGCTCACACACATTTTGGTTTGAAATGGAATCTGATAAAGAGCAAAGCAGGTATAGGCATTCAAGGAAGTGGAGTTCTTTTCCCCTTCCCTGAGGCTACAGGAACAGCTGTGGTTGCCCTTCCCCGACTCCCCATTGTCCTGTTTCCCCCTCCTGCCTCCCTCTGCTCAGAAAGGCTCCGGCGTCTTCATCTTATCTTCCCCTCGGTAGACTTCTCTTTCTCCCATTTCAGCAGCAGACAGACCTGCCTGTCTCCTGATGGGCTATTTTACATCAGAGGCCTGCAATCGCTCTTGCAGTAAGGGATTCACACACACACACACACACACACACACACACACACACACACACACACACACACTCACCTAGCATTCATCTTGAATTACAGACTTATCTCCCCTGCTCTGGTATGAAAAGACCCACTTTTCAAGGGAGAGGAGGGCGTGTGTGTGGAGGGGTGGGGGTGGGGGAGATGGGGCACCATCCTGTTACAGCACGAGCCCTTGCTTAGGCACAGCCCCCAGCAAACAGTAGAGAGACAAGCAGGATGAGTGTGGGAAGGCCTGGACGGCATGGTGGTTCACCTGCAAGGCTGGGCCTCTGCAGACCAGGGTACGGCCATAACCAGGTGGTCTCTGCAAAATTTGCTTAGACTTTTAAGGAAGGGTGAACGTTACATTTGTTTTCCCCTAAAGTATAAGTAAAGCTAGGTAGAAAGCATTTTCCTTGACTAGTAGGTTTGACTAATTAGAAAGCTTATTCTTCAATTTGTAGGTTTTGTTGAGTCCCCAAAAGGAAAGATATGAAATACTTTCCAGACACCTCTAAGAAAAACGTTAGGAGAAGACTGAATAACCAAGGGTCAGGGAGCTTCTGCCGCTTGTGGGCAGTGAGTCCCCAGGAAGTCATTTAACACCTCTGCACTCAGGGCTCCTCACAGATAAGGTGGGCTACTGATGTCTTCCTCTAGCTCCCATGGTTTTTCCCATACACCAAATGCAAATCATCCCTCCTGGTGTTCTTGGGGTGTAGCCATTTTGTCAAGTGGATGTGATAGGACTGTAGACCACAATGAAATCCCTCAAAATAACATAACATCCCTTTAATACGTCTGTCCAGGTGTGATCTGGCTGGGGCTCAGTTAATCTAGGCCCTGGGGCTTTATGCCACCCGTGGTTCAGTTATGGACAGGAAACTGTGGAAGTAGTCCTTCCAATCCACTCTCACGTATGAATCAGCACCCCCTCACCCCCTCATTTCCCATCCTGTTCACACACACACACACACACACACACACACACACACACACACTCACACACGTTGAGTGCAAGGACGGAGGGGTTTGTTCTGAGAGAACAAAGGACAGCGGAATGAATGGCTTTGACTCACCTGTGTAAGTTCTGTTCCCGCCGGAGACCCCAGCCTTAGTGCTGATTCCCGGGTTGTCAGAGGTGAGGACTGTATCCAAGGCCATGCAGGGGTCATTATAACTTGCAGAAAAGGCGGGAGAAAAGCACAGAGCCAAGCACAGGAAAAAGGCACGGGGTACAGCCATGGTCCTGGTCCGCTTGGTTGCTGGGCTTGGCAGCAGTAGTAAGACTGAGTAGGAGTGCGGGGCTCTCCAGTTTATATGCTGTGGGGCCGGAGCTTCTGGGTGAGGTCGTATGCAAATTTCCCTCCCTCCCTCCCTCCTGGAAAAAAAAAAAAACAACTGCCTTCTGGAATTTGGCCCAAGACATCACCAGGAATGAATCACCAGCCTCCACCTTCATGTCACCAATCTTCCTTTACCAATTCCAGTTTTGCTCAAGAAGAGGACTGGACAAATTATTGTGCACGTCCGTCACCTCAGCACCTGACATCTGAGGCCGTGGAGAAGGCTAATGGGAAGTGGTAAACGCCGAGGAGTGGAAGTCCACAGTTGAGTAATGATCCTGTAGGTGGCCTGTTTGGAAGCTCTGCCTTTCTCTGCAGAAACTCAGGCATGGGTGCCCCCCCCCTTTTTTTTTAATCTCAAAACATTGGATAGCCTTTTCTGATGCTCCTTCAATTTCCAGTTCATCTCATGACTAGCCTAGAGCTGGATTTACTTACTTATTTTTCAATTACACTTGTTGGCGCCGGGAGATAGGAGGATGCATGGACCACAGCGGGTGTGGGGAGGTCAGAGAACAACTTTCTGGAGTCATTTCTTTCCTTCCATTACATGGGTCATTAGGTATGAAGGAACTCAGGTTTGGTGGCAGATGTCTTTAGTCACAGAGCCTTCAAACCTGCCCTACTTATTTAAGACACTGTCTGGTGCACTCTAGGCTTGCCTTGAGTTCTCTGTGCACGAAGATGACCTTGAGTTTCTTTGAACATATACTCTTTATTTTATTTATATAATTTTTGAGGCAGGGCCTCACTGTGTAGCTTTGGCTGGCCTGGAACTTGCAACACAGACCAGGCTGCCCTCTTAACTCCCAGAGATCTGCCTGCCTCTGCTGTCTGAGTGGTGGGATTAAAGGCGTGTAAGGCCACACTCAGGATTTACTTTATTTTTAATTACACGTTTGTGTGAGTGCGTGTGGGTATGTATGTGTGAGTGCAGTTGCCCTGGGAGGCCAGAGGTCTCAGATCTCTTGGAACTGGAGTTACAGGCAGTTATAACATGGGTTCTGGGAGCAGACCTCCCTTCCTTTGCCAGAGCAGTAAGAGCTCTTAACTACCAAGTCATCACTGCAGCCCACGACCTTGAATTTCTGTTCCTCATGCTTCAACATCCCAAGTTTGGGGGTTATGGGAGTGAACCATCACACCCAGTTTATATGGCACTGGACGTTGAATCCAGAGCTTTCTATAAGCTAGGCAGACACTCTACCAACTAAACACATCCTCAGAACCCTGTATTTCTATTTATTTATTTGGAAAGAAACAGATTAGGTCTGAAACTTCCCTCCATAGAGCCTGAGCACAAGGAAATTATTTTTAAAAGTCAGATAATATTTTTTTTTCATATCCCCAGTCGCCCTAAAATTTTATAATTTACTCACTGAAGGAGACAAGGGAGAAGTAAGTTACTTTGTGAGTAGAAAGGAAATAAAAATACTATTGAAAGGAAATAAAATACTATTGAGCGGGGCAGCGGTGGCGTACACCTTTAATCCCAGCACTCGGGAGGCAGAGCCAGGCAGATCTCTGTGAGTTCGAGGCCAGCCTGGGCTACAGAGCAAGATCCAGGACAGACACCAAAACTACACAGAGAAACCCTGTCTCGAAAAACAAAACAAAACAAAAAACAAACAAACAAAATACTATTGAATCAAGGCAACAGTTTTAAAATTTTTGTTAATTAATTTGTGTCTGTACCTCCCCTCCCCGCTTCAGAGCAGAACTTGTGGGAATCTGTTCTTTCCTTCCACCCTGCTGGTTCTGGGTCTTGAACTAAGTCACCAAGCTTGGTGGTAAGCACCCTTTACCTGCGGAAGCATCCTATAGGCTCTGAATTACAATAATATTTTTAAGTGTTCTTTCAAGAGGAACATGGCATCTTGGGGTGAGGACCTTTAAAAAAAAAGTCTGTTCAACATCAGCAGTGAGAATGTTGTCAATAATGATCAAAATCTGCTGTTTACAAACCTCTAGAAATTAACCAATGGTTTTCAAATAATCTGGAAACATGCATTTAAAACAGATAAGTTGAGTGTCATTGAAAACAGTGACTGCAGTGGCAATTTAGCTTGTCTGGACCCACTAACCTCATCTCCATGGTGGCACAGAAATTCACAAATTTACTATGATAATTGTGGACACCAGAAAACTAGTAGCTGATAGAAGAAGCCAGCGTGGGTTTGGGGGGTCTTCCAAAATAGGCAGATCTCTGGTGTGAGTACTGTCTATGTGACCTCTCTGGAATCTGCCTGTGGAATTGTGTTCTTAGGACTTATAATTATGTTGACTGGATTCAGAACTTTCTCTAGGAACAGCCTATTTAAATAGGATGTTGGTCAAAGATAGTGAGTGGGGATTTTTAAGCGTTGTCTTGAGGCAGTGATTCCATTTGGGATCAAGAGATTGAATTAAGAAAAAGAAACCATGAAAGATATTCATAGTGAGTTTCAAATGCTCCAACGGATACTTGGGAAGCTAGGCTGGATGTTTGTGCGTGGTTCCGCCTGTGACTAGGAAAGGGCCAGAAAACCCCTCTCCCCTTTGACACGTGCTGAGACTCTCACAAACAGGAAGAGAAGGCTAAGGTTAGAGTCATAAAACTGCCCAGGGGCCACAGAAGCCATGCCCCACCTGCAGAGGGAGGGAGGGAGGGAGGGAGGGCACTCAGTGAAGCCTGGGAGGACTCTTGGTTAAAATCCTGAAGGAAATTTCTGTCTGTTCAGGAGTCGGCCAGTAAGTTAATTAAATGGAGCCTGGGGGGTCATGCATGCTAAGGAATTCAGACTGTAGAATCAATTCAAGAAACTCAGGCACCAATAGCAGCAGCAGCAGCAATAGACAACAGCTGAAGGGAGGGGGAGGGGATTTAGGACTCAGAGTTGCAAGTCATAGTTTCTGAATGTTCAGTCTTCAGCAAAGAGTTAGGAGATGGAGCTGGGAGAGTACCTCATTGATAGAGTGCATGCCTAATATATACTACACTGAAAAACAAACAAACAAACAAACAAACAAACAAACAGAACTACAACAACCCAAAATGTGACCCATAAAGAAGGAAAGAAATCTCTCGGTACACTAAAACTGTAACTGAGGGGATCCAATTGTTATATTTAGTAGATAATATATAATATAATGAAAGAATTGGGAAACGTGTCTAGTGAATTAAAGGAAGGTACATAAAATTGTGCCTCATCAAATAAAGAGTAACGATAAAGAGACAGATAAGGTTTTTTAACCAAAAGGAAGTTCTGCAGCTAAAATTGCAATAATAAATTAAATCAGTTAATTTTTGAGATCGGATCTCACTTTATAGCCCTGGGCTGCCCTCAACTTGCTATGTAGACCAGGCTGGCCTCAAACTTACAGAGATCCACCTGTTTCTGCCTCCTGAGTGGGGAGCTTAAAGGCATGCGCCACCACAGGTAGCCCCTGTGGTGATTTGAATAGGAACGGCCCCCATTGGCTCATATAATCGAATGCTTGGTCATTAGGGAGTGGTGCCACTGGACAGGGATTAGGAGGGGTGGCTTTGTTGGAGGAGGTGTGTCACTGGGAGTAGGCTTTGAGGTTTTAAATACTCAACCCAAGCCCAGTGTCTCTCTCTTCCTGCTTGCCAATCTGAATGTAGAACTCTCAGCTACAATCCAGCTCCTGCCTACCATAATGATAATGGACTAGACCTCTGAAACTCTAAGCCAACCCCAATTAAACATTTTCCTTTATAAGAGTTGCTGTGGTCATGGTGTCTCTTCACAGCAATAGAACATCGACTAAGACAGCTTCTAAGAATAAATTATTTAAAAACTACTAAAATTGGACAACAGATTTCAACGGCTGTACAAAGTTATCAGTAAACTTTGAGATTGCTCAATTGGCCGGGCGGTGGTGGCACACCTTTAATCCCAGCACTCGGGAGGCAGAGTCAGGTGGATCTCTGTGAGTTCGAGGCCAGCCTGGTCTACAGAGCGAGATCCAGGACAGAGAAACCCTGTCTCGGGGGGGGGGGGAAGCAAACAAACAAACAAACAAATTGCTCAACTGAATGAAGTTAACAAGAGGAGTGCAAGATTTATATACTTTTCTTTTTTTTTTTTTTTTTTTTTTTAAAGATTTTATTGATTTATATACTTTCAAACTACAAGGACCCAGAATATTCAAAATGGTCTTGGAGAAACAAAATAGTACGTGTAGTCAATACTTTCTGATTTTAAAACTTACTACAAAGCTGTGATGAGACAGGATGCTAATGGCCTATGTACAGCCATATAGATCAGTGGAGTAGAGGTAACCCCCTGTGTTTATGAGCAGATGAGCTAATTAGTGTTTTCTGGTTCTTAGACTTATCCCCAGGTTTTGCACATGCTGGGCCAGTGCTGTACCACTGAGTTACCCTACCCAGCCCTGACCAACTGATGTTTTAACAAAGGGAGCAATGTAGTTCAATGAGGGAAGAACAATGTTTTCAACAAGTGTTGTTAATAACTGGATATCCATATGCAAACAAATGAGGTTGGACCATATATAAATCTAAACTCTTGGTGGACCAAGAATTTAAATGTAACTATGAAACTTGTAGAAAATGTATAGCTGTCTGGCCTTGGTTGGGACAATGGTTCCTTAGATGTACTGCTCAATCTTGAACAGTACATCTAAGTACTCAACTCCAGTCAGGGAAAAAAAAAATAGATAAATTGGACTTTATCAGAACTAAAATATTTTATCAAAGGGCACTCTAAAGGAAAGTAAAATGATATCCTGCATAATTGGGGAAAATGTTTATGAATCTTATGCCTGATAGAAATAATGTGTGTGTGTAGATGGGCAGAGTTTGAATACTTTCTCCAAAGAGGTAGCTGTGCCCGATAGGCACATGAAGGACACTCAGCAGCATTAGTCATTAGATAGATGCAAATGAAAACCACACTGTCATCCAACACGAGACGCTACAA